AGGACAAATTAGTAAGTCCCAGAGCACATCTAGGAGCACCTTATTCTTGTATAGCAATTCAGCCTTTTGGGAGTTCATGAACATTTCATGAACTATGTGTTATTCTCTTCTATGAGGAGCAGCCCCAATAAATCTAATTACATTCCAGTCTTTCTCATCTTTTTTAACCTGTTAATACTTGAAAGTTAGGAATCAAGGCTTTAGTCCTATAACTGTTGTATGAAAAATCACACATAGATTAAAACATAGTAGTTCCACAGCAAAGATATGTCCCAGTTGTAACCAAACCATCCAGCAATGTTCCCTTTCCTATGTTTCTTAATAATACATTCAGTCTTGTTCTTTCTTTCCCATATGTGTGTTTTGTTGTCAAAATCTAGACATTTTGCTAAATGTTGAAATGATGAATGTATTTTAGATACATGGTAGGAAAGCTGAGTTTCCTTAGTTCTCTTAGATAAGGGACCAGGCCTCTGTGTCACAGAAAACAATGGATCCCACAGCTTGAGGTTTTAAACTGATGAATAATGTGTCTTTTTTGTAATCTACTGCTCCTTCTTTTAAATTTTCCCTTCTGGCAGGTCACTTTCCCCAAAAGAATTGCTAAACTAGCTGCTGGAAAATTCCCTGTAGCCAACCAAACCTCATCCTCTGGTAGCAAGACCAATGACCAATAAAGCAGTGACTCTCAGAGGGGTGAAGGTGGGCCGCTACCCTAAAATAGGACTGCAGCCCCAGATCCCTTGGTGACCCACCTCTGGGCTCCTCTCCTGTATCTGTGGGAGGCACAATAACTCCAGGCCTCCAATACTATTTCAAGTGAGTCTTTCTAAATCCTGTGAATCTGCCACATCATCACTCCGTGCCACATATCCCTTAATGGTCACCTGAGTGCCTCTGACCTATAAAATTCTCTTGATGCATCAGCGTCATAAGTGACGCTGACTTCCTCTTCCCCTACCTATGTTGGCTAAGTTCTTAGTTCTTTTACCCCACCTATTTCCCATAAGTCTCCCGCTATGCCGTGGAGGTGGGACTTCCTGTCATAGCCCGGTTGCCTAGTTACTTGCACCTTTTACCCGCCAACATCATTTCCCTATGCCTCCGCTATATATACCCAGCACCTCCCCTGAATAAATGAGACTTGATCAGGATCCGATCTTGTCTCCATTTCTCGCGTCTCCTTTCCTTTGTCCCCTCCTCAATTCCCCGCTCCTCTCCCAGGAGACCTTCGTTGACTGACCCGCTGGTTGTTTGGGACATGTATCTTTGCCACTTCTTTCAATATAACCATAAAATTACTTTTGCTTTGGTATCTGACTCTTCTTTTTGTCAGAGAGAGAGAGAGAGAGAGAGAGAGAGAGAGAGAGAGAGAGAGAGAGAGAATTTGGCAGTTTGTTTATGTAAGAAGATTATGTCCAAAATAATCCATGCTCCGACAGTGAGTTCCTTGAAACCGATTGTGTGCATGTGGAAGCAGGCAGGGCCTCTTGGAAGGAATATTGCAAAGCTAGTTGAAGAATCAGAATGGGATTGGATGATATTTATAACCTCTTCCAAAATGAGAGCCAAAAATGTGGGGGAAAGTAACCCAGGAAAGCTAAGAAATATGTCTTAATCTACCACTTGAGCAACTCTAAGGCTGTGAATTGAGAGAAAACTTTTTCCAGGTTGTTCTCAGAGCCTCAAAGCCCAGATTCCTGTAGTTAGTCTGAATATATCTGGTTCTTGCAATTGCTGTTGGAAAGTTCAAAGTGCAGAGAAGTTAGAGTCCGTAAAAAAGAAAAACAATCTTATGTAAGAAATGACTGGATGAATTGGTGGGTGCCTGTAACCTGAGAGCTGAGAACAAACTGTTAAGATAAGAGGGTAAACTGAATGGGTGTGGCTAGCAATGTCTTTCTAAGAGGAAAAAAAAATTGTTATTTTAGATTACTAAATTTGGTTAGGTAAGTGACATAATGCCAAGTTTTTATGCAAGATCAGTACATTCCCTTGGAGCAGAAAGAACACACTGGCCCTAGAGTTGCTGTCCTTCCAAGATGCAGATTTGTGCTCTTGTCTTGGCTTGTCTCACTGCCTGCACAGCTTGGGGTAAGTGCTTCTGAAACATTATTGAAGGGAGACAGGGGAGGTGCGTTTAGAAGTCCTTGTCCTAAGGAAAGTGGGTAAGATATCTGTGGTTTCCAGGTGTGGCCAGATTTAAAGGCAGCTTAGTAGATCACTTAGAGCATGGAATCAGGAGCCAGAATATTCCAACTCTGCAGTTTCTGGGTTGAGTGCCCTTAGACACTGTGCTTACTGTGCTGTGATTAGGTCACCCTATCCTAGAACATGGTTGGCAGTGGTGCCTACCTCAAAGGGCTGCAGGAGGCATGAAATGGGTTAATGTTTCTAAAATCAGTATAGAGGAGGCCTAGTTAGAGAAGACATGGGGACGGGATAAAGGGGTTGATTTAAAATGGAGTATATTAACAGCAAATTTAGCACGTGGTAAATCAAACCATGATTCATTGGTCACTGAAAGGACAATTTGTTACAGGTCCCAAAGGACAGGTCACACCACTGGGCATGGTCCACAAATAGAAGCATACAATATTTTAGAAGGCTGGAGTGGGGAAAGAGAAATCTGGGGCAAGCAAATTTGTTGTGAATTCCATTAGAAGAAAGAGAAGATGCAGAGAAATTGGAATTTTATTACTAGAAATTGGGGCATAAAGGCTGTGCTAAATGCCTGAATCTTATATCCAGCTAATTGAGACAAGTGTTGTTGACCCAAGGTCTGTGAACCAGATACAAGAAGTGACTGGAATGTGGCCTACAGATTGGTTGGACCCTATGAGCAACAGTACCTGCAGGATCAGCAAGCTTTTGAAATCAACACATCAGATACAGAAAATAAATCCATGGTCTTTCAGATGATAGTGAGGCATGTTAGGGACTGGGGAGATAGCTCAGTAGCATAAGTGCTTGCCTGGCAAGCACAAGGGCCTGAGTTCAATCCCTGGTTCCATGAAAAAAAAAAACAGCAAAAAAAAAAAAAAAAAAAAGATAGTGAGACACTTTATAGATAGAAAAATTGAGTCTCACAGGGCCATAAACAGGAGTAAAATCATGCCCTGTTCTATCTCTCATTCCTGAAGTCATACCAGTGCTCAGACAGTGTTTGGACCATCTGGGCTGTACCATCTCATTGGCTATGTGACACAGTGAGAGGCCTGGAATGTAGGTATAAGAAGGGACCCAGTGATACAAAAAGCATTCATTTTTATGTTTAACCTGGATATGCAAGGATTCTTCCATGTGTAAAAAGTCTACATGTGCCAGTTCCAAATTATGCTTGATTATCTGCTAAGTTACTATATTAACATTTATACAGCAAAGTTGTTTTTTTAAAGAAAAACATAGAGGAAGTTTCATGATCACACAGAAATGTGCTCAACATGTGCACACAGCACATGTCATAAGTCATAAATTTTGTGACTATTATTAATCTATCTTATTCTACTCAATCAAATATATTTTTTTGGTGGTATTGATATTTGAACTCCAGATCATGGGCTTTCCAAGGAAGTGCTTATTCTACTGAGCTGTCTTCCCAGACCCCACATTCATATTTTTAAGTGTGACAATGTGCAGGTTATCACTGGGTTTTGCCTAAGTCACCTAGATTAAAGGTCATTTTTGAGCTAATACACAGGTGACACCTAGGAATTTCTGTTTAGACTTTACCCTCTCTGACCTGTTTGAGGCTCTCAGTATACTTGCCAATCCCCCCTCATTCCTGAGATGCTTAGAAGTGCTCTTCTGCTCCATTCTACTATGTACTCTGACTCAGCTGCTGCCACCTCTGAGCTTTATTTCCAGCTTATTCTCTTCTTACACATGGGTCTGTAATGAAATCACACACAGCTGCAATGAACATTGCCACCTTGAGCTGGATGCTTTTGCCTATACCTGACCACCTCCTTATACTCCTATGGTGCCCTCATCATGTGGATTTTCTCAGCAGCATTCTCACTAACCTCCCCCAATGAACTGACCTAACATGAAGCCTTCTTTACTTGCTCTTCAGTCTGCACCTTCTCTTTATTTTTATTTTTTATATTAATTTTATTGAGAAGGAAATATCAATGAGACAGTTTTAAAACAGGTTAGTAGGGCAGTTATAATAATTATTTTTTCCAGGGCCAATTTTTTCTTTTCTTTATTTATTTTTAATTAATATTATTGAGAAAAATTGCACTGTGACAGATTCAAAACAGGTTGGTAGAAGAGTTACAACAATTAATATATTGCATATTGTTGTCCTTGTAGTATTCATTCATAACATATGATGCAGACATGATATCTTGTCCAAACACTATTAGTACAGATCTTTTTTCTTACTGAATTAAGAGAAAGTAGCTATATATCTATCCTAACTATTTTGTATATACAGATACAAAATTGTCCTTCATTTATATCACCTTTTTTGGGTTCAGTTTTGTCAAAGATGGGTGTTCTATTGCCATCCAAATATTGTAGATGCATGAATTAAGCAAAATATTCCAATACAGTCCAGCACTCCACAATAGTAGTAGGTTATCCACAGGACTGCCGATGTCCGAATCTGATGACTTGATACTCCCACAGCTCAGCATATTAACATGGCTTCACTTTTCACACCTCATTTCTACACTTTTCTGCTGGATGGTTAAGACCAAGGTAAAGCAAGACCTATATAACAAAAAATGCAACTTTTGTATCTGACACAGTCAGTCAAGTTCCCTCAGGACTTATCCTAAAACCCTGTTCAGCACTTTGTAGATCCTTTGTCAGTGTTAGCCATGTGGATGAGTCACGGCCATTGCTTGACCAATTTGTTTTCTGTGAAAAACTGAGAGAAAGCTTTCCCTCCATGTGACTCTCTTTAAGCACACACTACATCATCGATCACATTCTTCCGTGTCCCCATAATCTCCTTAATCAGAAAATTTTGGGCACTGCTGAGTTACATGATGTTACAGTACAGCTTCTTCTATGTCCTGAGTCCTCACTGACCTTGAAAGGCTAGGGCCACAATGTTGGCTGTGCTTGCAGCCCTTCTTTTTCTCTAATTTTTGGTCTGCAAATTTAGGTTTCTAACCCTCCAGAAGAGAAGCTTATTTTTGCCCTACAATATATGGAGTTGGGTTTAACCTCACTCTCTGTCTGAATATAAAACATCTGAGGTATAAGATGGAATATCTTTTTAAAAAAGCATTTAATATTGCTTAGCTATAAAGAATGATAAACTCAAAGCCTTCATATTTAAGTGTATGCCACGTGAAGATATACTCATAAGTGAAATAAACCAGACCCACATGGGTAAATATCACATAGTCTCCCTAATATAAGAATGCAGAAGAAGAAATACAAATAGATAGGTATAACACAATTAAAAGGAAAGTGAGAACTTGAGGATTAGACAACAAGGAGAGGGCATGGAGAAAAGGTAGGAAACATGACTTGGGCAAAGCCATACATTTATATGTACAAGGTGGGTAAGGCAATGATCCCGTGAACTATTAGCATGTTGTTGGATATAGCAATTCCTGGGTGGGATTCTTACCCTGACTAACTATATATGCTGATACATGTGAACCAAGAGACTGCACCAAAGATAGCAATGTGTAATAGTAGGGTCATACTTAGAATGCCTGTCATTCTTGTTTTCTAAATACATACTTCTTGTCATAACATACCAATTATGACCAGACTGTATCTGTTTCAATAATTAATGCATTGCATATTGTTGTCTTCATAGTATTTATTCATAGTACAAGATGCAGACATGATATCTTGTCTAAGTGCTATTAGTTCAAAACTTTCTCTCACTAAACTAAGAGAAAGTAGCTGTATATCTAA